ATAATAATCCATGCTTTCAACCTTATACTAGCATATTAACATCATGCGATGAACAAAATACAGCAAGAAATTAACTATTTCCAAGGGCAACACATCTTCTTACTGATCTTGATATTCCACCTGTAAACACTCGAGATATCATAGTTTCCAATTTGAACTTTCCAGATGAAGTTCACAATGAAAACTTCCATTACTCTAGATTAATGGCAGGATTCATTCGTGAAAGTGATACATTACGTATTCCTATTGTTATATATGATCCTAATCTAGAATCATTAATTTTTCCTGATCTATTTACAGATGGAAAAGGTCACTTTCATGATATATTAGATCAACCAGACATCACAGATGATGATATGAGAGAAGAAACTTATGGTAAATATATCAGATAACGATTAATGAATTATGATCCATGATGGAGGCTTCATCATTTCTGGCCTTCTTAGTCATACCTACAATTAGAGAAATTAAAACATCATCAAAATACTCAACGACTCTTAAGACAAAATAATATCAATCCTAATAATCCTAATATAAACAATCTTCTTACTGCAAGGCAATTACTCCTCTAGTGAATATAATAGATATCTGAAATTAGATGAAACTAAAATGATTTCCCTGCCTATTTTTATACGCACAGGAGATACTTACTTTCATCACAAACAACTTCACCTTAACGTAATGCTAAAAAAATTTGGTTTACCATCATTATTCATAACCTTGACCATAGCTGAAGGACGTTTGACTCATCTTCATAATATACTTATTAATACAAATAACAATTATTTATTACCAACAAATAGACCTTATCATTGTACAAATTATTTTGTTCACAAATTTCAATCTCTAAAAAAGGAATTGTATAAAAAACCTGAACTTACAGGATTTGGCAAGATTACAGACTTTTTTGATCAAGTTGAATTTCAAAATAGAGACGCAACACATATTCATAGCTGTTATTAGACTGATAATTCTATTTTAGATATGATTGCAAATGATGTCATCCATTCAACAATACCTGATCCTCTATATGAGCCTGAATTATATGCTTCTGTGATAACTAATCAAATATATACTTGCAATTATAAATATCAAGATCCTGCCTCACAAAGTCAGATATGTAAAAAAGGTTTCCATGTTCTTATAGTCAAATAACTCATTATCAAGAAAGAGCCTCCCGTTAAATTTATAAATGTTTAATTGATGCAAATTCATGGATAGTCTCTTATCATCCTGCTATTCTCTTATTATGGGATGCTCACATGAATATTCAGTATATAACTGATAGAAGATTCGCTCAATATATGGTAAACTATATTGTTAAAAGAGAACTCTCTCATGTATTTAACATACAAGATGGAGATACATTAAGAGAATTGATGTTTTTGCTTTTAGGTCATCAAATCTGTAATTCATCAAGTATTGTAAAATTCCTCACTACTGAACCTTCTAATACAAGATCTCGTCTAGTGCTTCCTATCTATTTAATATATGAAGAAGATGAAAACCCTTATTATAATGATACCATAACTAAATATATAGCACGACACCTCTCTCCTGAATTTGATCCACTTACCTATCCTCAATATTTTGAAAGATATTTGATCTATCCTTTAAGATCTTTAATTAATTGATCAATCTTTCATGATCAATTGAATAATTATGTTGTAAAACGATTTAAAGAAATAATAGTGAGATATCATTTTTTTAAACTTCAAGATGCTGAATTATACTTCTATCAGAAACTTCTTCTTACCATACCTGCAAGAGATAAATCTGATTATAGAATAGGACCTAATAGAACATACTGATAAAAAATTTTGTTATTATTTCCTGATTTCTTGACGACCTTACAAATCTAAACCACAAATAACCATCACTTACGCATGACTTATCTTAATAATTAATTTGCTAAAATGCTAGACAGATTGCTACAATCATTACACCAAGAACTCCCAACAACAATTCAGGATATTATAAGATTACAATTGGAAAATATCAAGATGCTTCCTCACTTATTATCTGAAACTGCTATACTTGATCTATCAGAAGATCAGTATTATGTCTTAACAACAATCTCTTTATATCTTGACCCAAATGATGGTATCAAATGGCCATATTATTTTATTACAGTTTCTGTAGGAACGAGTAAATCATATATCATAAACCTGCTGATAAATACTCTTAAACAGAAAAAATCTAAATATCTTCTCCCGGCTCTTACTGGTATTGCTGCCCAAAATGTAGAAGGAAAAACTATCTATTCTGCATTGCAAATTATTTCAAATTATGATAACTTTCGTATATATGCATATATTGATAAAGAATTAAATGAATCATTAAAAGCAATTGATACTATCATCATTGAAGAAATTTCAATGGTTTTAGTACAGCTCTTTGATTTTATATCTAATCTTTTTGCTAATCTCAATAATAATGCTATCCCATTTGGTAGAATAAATGTGATTACAATAGGTGACCTTGCTCAATTACCACCTATTACAGGTTAATCTGTATTTTGTTCAATAATCTGGACTTTATTCTATCCCTTATTCTTAACGACTTCACAACATCAACAATCTGACAGCAGATTCTATCAAATATTACAAGAAGTTTGAATGGGTAAAATATCTGCTGAAACATGGCAGATGCTCAATCAAAAACATTCTGAATTTTTATTAAGTTCAGCAATCGATACACTTCTCAATACTACTAATATTGTCAGCTTTAAAGAAAATGCTCAGCAAATTAATCAAATGATTTGTAATATATTACCTGTTCCTGAAGGAAAATTCTTTATATCACAAGCTGTAGATTCAGTAAATTCCATATCGTGGGATTCTTATTTTTTTGAAAGCTCTTTTAAAAGTAAAACAAATCTACCTTCTTCTGTAAGATTACAACCAGGTGCTCATGTTATGTGTCTTAATAATTATTTATTTAAGCAAGAAATTTGTAATGGAACAGTTGGAATTATTATGGATTTAAACCTTATTGATCATTCTGTTCAAGTCATATTTTCTGTAAGAGGTTTGATAATAAATACAACCATTTACAAACAAACACATCACTTTCAACTATTTGGAAATAACTATCGCAAAACTTAATATATACTACAGAACTGCTTTGCTCTAACTATTCACAAACACAATGCTTAACTTTACCAAATGTTTCTCTTGCTTTAGATCAAAATATCTTCTCTGTAGGTCAAACCTATGTCACCCTTAGCAGATGTTCTACCTGGGATAATGTTGAGATTTCTCAACTTGATAGGTCAGCATTTATGACAGATCAGGATATGGGAGCGTTTCCAGTAAAATCACATTACGGATCATATGATTTATTATGTCTCATGACTTGATTTTACTGGAAACGTTCCCATATGATCCTAGAATATCAAAGATTACATAATATTTCATGATTAAATCCTTATAATTTTTGATTATAAAATGCTTATTTTTTAAATAAAAATGATAAAGCATTACATTATCTAACTGATACCTTTTTAAATATCAAGATCTTTTTATTAGATAAATTATTTAACTAAAATCATAATTTACTTATAATAATCTTTAATTTAATTAAAAAAAATATATACCATATCAAAAAAAAAAAATATATTAAAAATATTCAAATCAATCATTTATGTTTTTTTATTAAAAAAAATTATAAAAAAATAATCTACTCATCATGATCATCATTCTCTATATGACAAATTACGTTTGTATGACTCATTGCACTTCTGATATGCATTAAATATGTGGTAGATACTGGGAAAAAAGAACTAACTCACTAGTTAATATTAAATTTGGGGTAAAATTTCACCAATCAATTAGTGAACACAGAAAATTGACACAAAACGCTCAAATAGTAAAGTAATACAAATTATTTTTATGCATACAAAAATCACACAATCTAATGCAAAATAAGTCAGAGAACATAAATACATCATTTTTAGATGTTCTTTAGTTATATTTTAACGACTTTACTATACACGAACGCTAGATTCTGAGATGAAATAAGTAGAATCGCAAATTTACAAATAACATTTTATATAATAAAAGTGATATTAACTTGTTTGTTTAGAAGTTTTAAATAACTCTACCTTCTCAAGAAGTTGCAATACTATACTTTTCTTGTTAAATTTGTACAATCACTTTCTCTTTGTTATGGAGTTATGGTAAATTTCAGAGAATTGTGAATGCAATTTTATTGATTTTTATGATTTTTATTTATCTTTAGAAACAGTTCGTCATTTTGTCAGGTTTGTGAAATTTTTTATTTTTCTTTGTCTTGGATTTCATTGTAAGGATTTCATTGCGAAATTTTTTTATTCTTTTTATTGATTCTTTTTCTTTTTTTTATTGATTTCAGAGTGAATTCTTCTTTATTTCTTAGTTTCTTTTTTACAATTTGTGGTAGGGTTTGGATGAAGACTTTTTAGCTTAAATTTGTCAATTTTTATTTTATTTTATTTTATTTTTTTTAGTTTGATTTGGTTTTATTATTTTTATTTTTTTTATTTTAGATTCAATTTTTATTTTTTATTCATAAGGATATAATTCAATTGATTGAATGTAGTTTTACTTTTTTATTAAAAAATATAATTGGAAAATTCAACATAATAAATCATAGAAATATCAATAGCATTAGTTTTTGAGATAATATTATTTTATTATATTTCATAATACAAACTATTTATTTTTCTAATGACTCTGCTTCATCAAGAAGTCGTAATGCCATAGTTTTCTTGAATAATCGCGAAGTATTTGTTATTCAATTCGAAATTATAGGTATTCTTAACATGTGGGAGCTTTGCAATAGAAAGGGAGGAAACTCTAAAAAAATTTTTTTTTGAATTAATGTTAAATCTGGACTTATTTTACAAAAAAATTCATTATTAGCTTAGAAAATAAAATTTTAATTTTTTTAGAGTTTCCTCTCTTTCTATTGTAAAGCTCCCATGTTATCTTTGGAAATTTTCCTATTAGCTACCCTTTTCAAAAGTTCTTCATGCATTTCGTTAGCATTATTTTCAGTCTAGGATTAACTATACCAGTGTGAAACATTACAATAAGTAATTTCTTGATATGCTCTGGAATTCTTTTGATTTGCTGTTTTTGATTCGCTTTTAAATTTTCTGATAGAACCCATCTGCGAACAAATATAATGGCACTAAAAATAATAAAAAAAAATATGAATTTATTTCAATTTTACAGTATGGTCAAATTTACCTTTTTGATATTGGATCAATATCTATTTTTTCAATTTGTTCTTCAACCTGTATTCCAAACTTCTTTTTTTTATTAACAATCCTAATAAAACAAAACATAAATATTTCCATTATATTTACCTCAGGAATCTCCTTATCCACTTGCAAATTTTCATCTGAGAATATGCAACCTTAGTCAATGCAAATAAATGATCGCGAATAGCCACCAATTTCGTTGCGTAGTTCATAATTTTGAAAAGAAACCTTTTCTCAGTACCAATAGCAAAATCCATAACTTTGAAGGCTGTGTATATGTTGTATGACTTGGGTTGGTTTTTCAAAGGTACGTGTTTTTGTAATTTTGTCAATTTGACCAGGAGCGATCTTGTTCCATTTATCGAACTCTAGCAATATACGAGTACATATATATCCATTATTCTCTTCTGTTTCAGGCCAATCGTTCCTAACTTTCCTTTTTCTATTCAAAAACTATTATTTTTATTTTTCAAAAAAAATGTAGACAAAATTAAAATTAAAATATAATTTATTACCTTTATCATGATCTGACTCAAGGTGAGATACATAAGTACCTGAAAGTTCTTAAATAGCATTTTCAATATCTTTCCCTTCTTCTATTTCATATCCTATTTTTACCCATCTCTTTATTGTGTGCGAAATCTAAAATGTAGTAAATATAACAAATAAACGATAATATATGAAATCTTAATAATACTAATTGGTTCATACTTGAGCATGGTGGAAGTCTATTGTAGTCTTTGCTTCACCTGCTTCTAAAAATAACCATCTACAAGGACTAACATTATACCATTCTTTCCAGTACCCATAATAATCATTAATTCTGTATTACGATAATGCCCTCCATTATCTGAAATAATAGTAATCCATTTTGGTTTTGGTTCTAAGATTTCTATTATAGTATGTAATGAGAATGCAGTGAACTATGCATCTTGACGAGTATCTCCTGACCAATGATCAAAGGCTTTTACATTCAGATTATTATCAGCATTTTTTGTATATACGAGAACAGAATGGAGTGTCCATCCTCACTTTTCAAACCATTCATTTTTTATTTCACAAGCTATTTTGGGCAGGATTTTCATCTTGTAATCTACAATTATTAAAGTTCTATCTGAATCAAGTTGAGAGAATTGAGCATTAAATAGTTCTTGAACATTCAAAAAAGACCATCATCTTAGACTGTCTCCTCATTAATGATGTCGATAATCACCAACTCCTCATTAATAATCTGAAGCTCATTACGAAATACGTTAATCCTTATTTTCAAAATTTTGCTATTCCTTCTTCTCCTGTTGCACCTATCACTGGTCGATAGATTAAGTAATTCACTCCCATTGAAGGTATTAATGAAGTTTGATATAGTAATATTATGCAACCTCTAACCCTTGAAGAATGGATGGCAGTTGTTTTACATTTGCCTAATAATAAAGCTTCAGAACCTTTAGATATTCACAACGAAATGATTAAATACCTAGGTCAAGTGATTCAGTCTCTTTTATGGAAACTTATCACAATGTATTTCACTCTGAATGATATTCCCTTAGAGTAGAAGTCTGCTCACATTTATCTGATTTCCAAGTTCATGAGTTGGAATTGTAATATTACTAAAACTAGACTAATCACACTATTAGAATCACCTAGAAAAGCAATGGTCAAAATTATCACAAATTATTTATCTCGCCTTATGACCAAACACAACATACTCAAAGGTAACAATTTTGCTGGATTACCTAATGGATCTACTGAAGACCCTATTAAGATCATGAATATGATCATTGAAGACTCTGTTAAACACAAAAAAGAAATTTGGATTCTATTATAGGATCTTTCCAAGGCCTACGATAGAGTTGATCTCAATATTCTTAAACTGGCTTTCAGAAGAATTAAAATACCAGAAAATTGTATTACTTGTATCTTAAATCTTTTACCAATCAATGTAACGCTGTTTTTACTAAAGATGGTCTTTCAGACTTTTACGATATAAGAATCACTATTGACCAAGGAGAGGTAATTTCACCCCTTCTTAATGTATATATACTTTGACCCTCTATTATGTGAAATTGATCACCACAAAAAAGGATACAATTTAAACCATACTTGGATCTCAGATTTGAATACTATAACCTCATTTTCTCTTTTTATTGATATTTTATCTCTTAGATACATGAATGATGCGAACTGGATTGTCAAATCCAAAGATCTTGAATAATTCTTAGAAATAGCTGACGAATTTTATTCTCTCATAAGAGCTGCAATCAATAAAAACAAATCCAGACTACTTACTAATGCTCTTTCTTCTCCTAATTCCATTCAGTTAAAATTTGGATCATCCTATATTCCTATTATACCAGAGTTAGGTTCAGTTCATTTTCTTGGTGTATGAATTAATATATTCAATTCGTCATCCTTTGTTAAAACCCAAACCAAAGATACCATCTCCTCCTTTATTACTATCCTCAAATCAAAACCACTCACTGATAAACAACTGATTTATATTTTTAATACTGTTCTTATGCCTACTTTGGAGTACCATTTATAAATGACACCGTTATCTTTTAATGAATGCAATGCTTTCTCTGCTCCTATTCGAAGGCTATTAAAAACTAATTCAAAATTTGCTAGCTCAGCTCCAGATTGTCTCTTTAAAGGAAACAACTTTTATGATTTACATGATCTATGGAATCAGCAGATGTAAGCATTTTCAACAGCTCTTTTGTATCAATTCAACTCTAAAACTATCTATAATGATATTTTTAGGATCAGATTATTTAGATTAAAATCAAACAATAGATTACACGTCTTATCTTTAGTTAAATGGAATTTACCGTATAATAACAAATTCTCTCAAAATCTCATTGGTGTTACACTTAGTCTTCTCAAACAAAATGGACTAGAAATTTCATTTCATGTTCATAAGAACCTCAGAAATGAAATTAAAGGTGGCATAATCTCATTAGACTCTATTCTACTGCAAGTCACTTTAGTTAAACATCAATACATCATCAACAAGTTCTCACTTTTATTTCTTAATCAATTTCTAGACAACAATGGATCATCTTTGATTAATTGGAAGAAACTAGTCAGTAGACTATATTATAATAACAATTTTTTTAAAAAAAATAATGTCTCCAATTTCTATAAATTAATTAGTAGTTTAGTTTTAGAATCTGCTTCTTCTAGATTAGTCTTAAAAAATTTTAGATTAGCTCATACCAATAGTTTTTTTATAGATTCTTATAGTCTCAATATTAATATAAAAGATAAAAAATATGAATATATTTCTGCTCTCAATATCCAATTTAGTCGATTGATTATCAGCAGGATTGCTAGAAAAGTACAAACATACAATAACATAGTAATATAACATTTCATCCAATCTGATGCTCACAATAGTCTTTCGTTTCTTTATAATGAAAGAGCTATTACAAAATGCAAAGGATGTGAATGAGCTTTTAAACAGTTGTCATAATCCTCCTTATAGTTGGAGGAAATTTTGGCTCCCTCTTCCTCTGACAACTTGTATGCAAGGCTATCATCCTAACCTTGTCATTCTAATTACTAAAGCTTCAAAAGCCCATCTAATCAAAGGAAATATTTTTCTGAAAACTTCAGTCAAGGACACTATCCAGTCCCTTCCGTACTTGCTCAAGAAGAAAAACACCGTCTGTTCTTCTTAACATATTACAGAGGTTTCAAACCTTCCTCCTGTTGATTCATATTCATTTAAGAATGTTAAGATTATCAAACGGATAGTTATTGATCCCTGTCAGTAAGATACTCTTATTCAAATGACTACTAGCCTACAACATCTATCCTCACCAACATTTTACGCTGATGGATCACTTTCTAATGCCTTCACTGATCTTTGTTCAATAGGGATAGGTTGGATTTGTCCTGATCTTTATGAATTTATACTTGTTCCTTTAATGCTTCCATCATTAACAACCCCTCATCATCAAGAGCTGAGTTATTTGCTATTATTTCAGCAATCATCACCTGTCCTTTGGCTTCTTCCTCTCAGATCTTCACAGATAGTCAAGCTATAATACAAGACTTTGATTAATATATTACAAACAATGTTTTAACTAAAATATCAAAAGAGAAAATTCCCAATTACGCTGCATAGATTCTACTGCAATACATTATATAACAATTATTCTTGACTGTCACTTTTATCAAAATTAAAGGACATTCTAGGGACTTTTTTAATGATAAAGCTGATATTCTTACAAAGGATGATTGCTCTCAGCCTATTTATTAGCTCAATTACTCTATCATAAAGGACCTGCAACTGATGATGATATTTAACAATATTCCAATTGACTTCTCTTCAAGGAAATTCTGGAAAGATCTTAATTCTGCTGAGCACTTCTCCTCTTTCATAGAATTGCAGAGAAATGCCTCTTTACTATGACTCACAAGATCTTCTTCGGTATCCTGGCCTCTGTCTCTCAAAAACTATAACTTACAAGACAATACACTAACTATAACAACGTTTATCCAAAGAAATAAGAAGGCATTCAAAACTAAAATATTCGCTAAGGAGCTCCCTACTTTAAATAAACTCATTTTTCGATGTCCAGATCTTTACAATAATTGGAATTGTATCACCTGCAATAATGTAGCAGAATATCTTAACCATTTATAGACCTGTCTTACTAACCAAACCATCATTATTGATCTTTAAGCCTTATTAAGGAATTTTTTGAAGCAAACTATTATCAACAAGTTGAAAAAGAATCCTGTTTGTCTAGCCTTGTTTCATTCGTTAAAACTCAGCTTCACACTTGTGTTAATCTCCAGTCTCGTTCAGATTCGTTCTATCTGTTAACAAAAGGATTAATTCCTTCTGAACATTTTCACTTATTACGTTCTTTATTCACTCCAGTCAATACCTCTCTCATTATTGGCTTAACTACCAATCATCTTATCCAACTCTTTTACAATATGATTTGGCTTCCCCGATGTAATAAACTGATCAATAAGAAAAGGTCTTTAGGGATCTCTTCAAAATTAAAGAAATTGAAAAAAAAAAAGAAAAAGAAATCAGCTACAGCTGCCACCCGCAACTCACACACATACCGCTAGGCTTCTTTCTCAAAAATTGAATACAAAATTAGTGATTTGAAAGTCTTGGTTAACTTTGGCCATCAAGTTTGGTAACTCTTGATTAGATTTCATTAATAGGTACTAATAACTTCATTTGAATTTCTTTATGATAACTTAATCATCAAATATGGATTTTTTGGTTCTG